TCACCTTTCCAGGACTAGCAACTGGAAAAACTGTGTTAACACCCAGTCGGTTTTATTCTAGCCCTTACGTGCTGGCATCCTCCGTGAATTTCTCAGAGCAGGAAGGAGTTTTTCCCCAACAACAGCCAGCCATTACAACCATTCCCTAGAGGAAGCAAGCTGCTGCTAATTTTGGGAAGTAGGGAAACAGGTTACATGAAAGACAGATGACTACGAGAAGAATCAAATTTCACAGCTTAAGAAACACTAATCTAGAACACTTCACAAATACTAAATGTGAACTCGTCTAGAAGGTGAAGGAAGAGGATTAATTACCTAAATACTAAGCATGTATTTAGAACACATTGTCAGTAACAAAAAGATCTGGCTGCCCAACCTATAGAGGAAAAAAAAAAACCCAATGTCTCACTCCATCACTTAGCCCAGGAGAAAAATCACTGCAACTGGTACCAATAGAGGTTTTAAAGCCAGAAAAATCTTCACAGTCAAGTCTGTCCTACAAAGGAAAGGTCAAAAACTTCTGAGATTTCTGCTTACTTTGGAAATAACGTAGCAGCTGGAGGCGCCATCCAAAGCTAGTATTACCATCCAATTAGGTTACTTTACTGGGACAGTGAGCAAGCACTTCTATTCCTCTTGCTCATCACTATAGTATTGCCCCATCCTGGCCAAACTAAAGGAGCACAGCTTCCTTTGGAGGCAGGGGGTTATCTGAGACGTCCTCAGCCATGCACGTTATCACCACAGCACTTTCAGCTCCTCCTGGCACCACTCAGGATGGTAAACTGATGCCTCTGCACAGCAACACATGCCATAGTTTCTGCAGTTGTACATCACTGAAACAAGACACCCAACTAATTTTGGTTGAAAGGACAGATAATGACAGAGATGCCAGCACTCCTAGTTTTAATGCCGGTCCTAAGATTCCCTTTCGAGTCTTAGCCAAGTCACTGAGCCTCGATGTGATGCTGGCATCAAACCAGTGTTTATAAAGTGCTTTTGAGATATGCCAGAAATGCCAAATATTGTAATTTACATTTGGAGCTATGAATAGCAGATTGGAACATTAGTCTACCAGCACAACCGATCTCAAGTTTTTCAAGAACAGAAATAAAACATCAAGTAATATTCAATGATCTGGGCGAATGGCATTTGAGAAGAGGAAGAAAAATTTAGTTTTGAAGTACTGCAATACCAACATTATTCCCTAAACACAATTTAGTCACACCAGAAGCCGTTGCTAGGTCACACAATTCACTTATAGCCCAATTACCAATTATTCACCTCAGAGTTTCAGAGTTGCTCACCTTTTGTACCAATCCATAGCTGGTCTTGCTCAAGTTTAAAGGTCAATCTTACTTTCCCTCCTGACTTGTTGTACATGCCAGATAACGGCACTGTTGGCAGGCGCTCCTACAAGGAGACAACATAGTTAGGTGAAGGACTTTAAGAGGAAAGTCTATATCCTCTTAACATTTTAAGCATAAGGACAAGCCATCTTTCCAGTTTTCTACTACGATAGCAAGGAACAATTGAACCAGCAAAGAAAGGTCTCAAAACACAAAAAATGCCTCTCTCTCCTGACTATGACAATTTCTCAAGTACTTATCTACTTACCTGAACACCTTTAACAGAAGGCATCACATCATCAGGTTTTCCTTTATCCAATACTTTTCTGTGTTGCTACAACATAAAAACTGAAATTAGAATTTACAGAAACGCAACAGAGTTCTCCAATTTACTTCCAGCTGCACCCTTGACCATATCCCAGTAGCACGAAGAGACAGTTAAGGACTATTCACAGTCATTTATCACGCAGGAAATGGTTAATTTCCAAAGTTAACCGAGCACTTTCCATGACAGTCTAAAGAAATCATATAAATTAATAAAACCCCAATATAATGCAAGGGTAACATCCCTTCTAGAATATACATAGGTATGTATCTATAAAAAATTAAAGAATCCTGAGTCCCGCTTTAATATCGTACATGCTGAATCACATAGTTGGCATTTGGCAAGACAGTTTTAACAGTCAAGTGTTATATCCAGTGAATGGCAGAAAACCCTCCACATTTGACAGTGCAACATACCACAGCACAGCAGCAAACCAGAACAGATAAGAGCAGCAGTAACTAAGAAAACCATGCTCACAGCTTGTAAGTTGCTGAGTACCTTTAAGCAATGATGGAACTTACAGTGAACGTGAACTATGATAAATTATAGAAAAACAAAAGCATGTTTCATAAAGGTTGCAGTTCAATGATGCACTATTTAATTTTTAACCAAATTTTGAGGAAGGTATGGGGCCGGTAATACCTTGAGCTGAAAATCCTTTACCAGCCCCACAACACTGCAGCACCGCCACCAATCCAGGCCTCACTGCACCGTACCTCACTCCCTATTCGGAGGCAGCACTTCAAGATGCGAGAGGAGGAACATCCATGTTCCCTTCAGTGCTGGGACAGCTGAAGGAACTGCTCTCTCGGTGTTCATTTTAAAGACAGTTTTTGGAGATCAACTTCTTTTATGCCAACGAAAATTAGTTAGGTTTTTTGGATATAATTAATTTAGACTGCATTTGAGCTAACAACCATGAAATATTTCTGTTGTTTACCATTTCTTGTCTGAAATGCTAGGCTGTACCTAGCACCAGCACAAGCAGTGTCTTGCAAAGCCCCAGCCTCCACTAGGCTAAATGTTTTTCTGCTGCCAGAACTCCTCCGCACAGAGCCCTTCTTCTACCGCTTAGCTGTGAGAAAAGAAACCCCAGCCTGCCTTGAGGAGGAGCAGGACCCGAAAGTGACTGCAGAGCGTTACAAGAGAACCGCGTAAATCCTACAGCTCCCCCACGCCAGGAATTATTGAGACATCGATAACCTTTTGTCTGCAAAGCGGCTCCTTTTTATTTTCTTCAGCTTTGACCTCCTGTTGAGCAGCTTCTTTGGGTGTATTTACTGCTAAGACATCATTGATAGTAGAGCCAACCACCATTATTTTTGCTCCGTTTGTTACTTTGATCTCCCGCAACGTTTTCTCCTCTGGTAGAAGTCCCTTGAACATAACTTTCTGCATAGCAGGTGGAAGGCCTAAGAGGCAAGAATAACGATTAGGAGACCGCCGGGCAGCGGCGCGGGGAGGCGCGGGCTGAGGCGGGAGAGGCGGCGGCAGCCCCGACAGACCTGTGAGCGAGTGGATCTTCTGCTTCAGCTTTGCCCCCGTGCTGTCCAGGCAAAACTTCACGTCGTACTTGTTCTTGTTCCAGATAA